TTGGAGGTGTTGCAGGTGGTCATTGTCACCGTGGTTATATCAAAAACCCTCGCCTGTGCAAGAAAGAAATGACCTTGGGTGAGAATAAATTGCAAGTTTTATGTCGGATGCTATTGTAAAATTCACTACAAGAAATTTTAATATTACCGACGATCAAAATCCGTCGGTAATAACAAAAATCCATCGGTAGTTTCCATTTACCGACAGATTTTTGACGGCCAAAAATCCGTCGAAAATTTGATGGTCGATAAATATTACCGACGAATTTAATAGTCCGTCGGTAATTACCGACATTTAATAGTCCATCGATAATTACCGACGAATATATTCGTCGCTAAATATTTTATGAAATTACCGACGGATAAACAAAAATCCGTCGATAATATTTTTAGTATTTATTAAATATTTTACTTATAAATCCAAGTACCTTAGAGTTAGAGGTCGATACACCAACCACTAAGCTACCGTAATTTTTTTATAATAATTTACAAATAAATTATATTTATATATTTATATATTTATATATTTATATATTTATATATTTATATATTTATATATTTATATATTTATATATTTATATATTTATATATTTATATATTTATATATTTATATATTTATATATTTATATATTTATATATTTATATATTTATATATTTATATATTTATATATTTATATATTTATATATTTATATATTTATATATTTATATATTTATATATTTATATATTTATATATTTATATATTTATATATTTATATATTTATATATTTATATATTTATATATTTATATATTTATATATTTTTATTTTATATATTTTATATATTTATATATTTATATATTTTTATATATATTTATATATAATTAAATATTTATTTTTTAAAATTTTTTAATTTAAGAAATTATTATAAATTAATCTAATTATGATTAAATTAAATTATTAAATAAAAAATATTTAATTTTTTAATTAGGTGAATATTTACTAATTATTAATTTATTGACTGAAATATCCATCGGTAATTTACGGATGAATTTACCGACGGATATATACATCCGTCGATAAACTCATCTGTAAATTACCGACGGATTTATCGACGGATATATTCGTCGGTAACTAATTATTATTTTACCGACGGATATATCTATCGATTAAATCAAATTCCACAAATATTTTATATCCGTCGGTAATTTCCGTCGGTAATACGCGATTTTCTTGTAGTGATTCACTTTTTACGTCAGTTAAGAAGTCACTCAACATAAAAAATTATTTTTATGTCAGTCTTTACAAAGTTCGACGTACAAACTCGCACTATTATTTTTGAAACTACCATTGCATTTTTTTTTCAAGTCGATTATTTTGTAATTCCACAAAAATAAGATAACGTAGAAAACCCATTTTACAATGCAAGTCTAGGTAAAAAGTTTGAAGTGAAAATGGAAATTCGAATACAAACTAAAAGGTGCAGAATTAAAAAAAAAAAAGTCTCAACCAAAAGAGAATAGAATATAAGACGAAAACTAAAAATTAAGTGAAAGAGAACAACACTTTTAAAAGATTAGCAAAGTAACCTAAAGAAGGAATTTAGAATTACTACTAGAAATTATTTGATCATAATTAAATCAATATTCAAATTCAACATAAGTGAGAAGATAAAGACATGCAAAATGTTAAGATCAATTGGTGAAACCAATAGAATCAACAATCAATATTGCATCCAAGATTGAAAATAATTTTGAATTTTTACATTTAACAATTTTCTTCTAATTTTTTTATACTTCACGTTGTAAATTCTTATTACTTTTCAAGTGCTTCTTATTTTCTTATAATCTTTGTTAAATACAACATTAACATATGATTCACAAACAAAGTTTAAACACTTTATCTCTATATTTGGAGTCAATCAATTAATTCAAACTACTAGCACGTTAAACTTGAAATTAATTCAAATAGTATTCAACTATCAAGAATTTATGAAACCAAAAAAATAACAGAGGAACGTATGACTCTAAAATAAGAAAGTAGACGAGGCAATCATGTTCAATTAATTCCTTCATCTTGAAATGCTAATTTTTACAAAATCCATTATATCATTCAGTAAACATGATTTACCAAGATTTAATACACTAAACACTTCAAATACATGAATAAAAATGCAAATAGAATTAGTTATGAATTTAATGACAGAAATACGTGACAATGTACTTACTTATGACCGAAATCCTATTGGAGACCAATGTTGATATAGATTTAGCTATGGAAATGTACTTTTATAATGCAATTAAAATTTTTATTGATGTTTCACGTTAAACCAAATGATTTTTTCTTTTGAAGGACTAATAATTCTTTGAATACCAAATGATAGAGATCAAATTATGTATTCACAAATAGAATATTTTGTACAATTTCCATTAAATAATTAAAGAAAATATAAATGCGTACGAAGATTAGTAACGAAGAAGATGCCACAATATTGATTGATAACCAAAAATGCGACAATCAACATGGATAAGTTAAAGAAGATTTATAACTACAAATTGAAAATTGGAAATTCGTCACCTTAAGATTGATAAGTAAAAAAAGTTCTTCAAAAGAACCTAGAGAGAATTGCTTCAATGTCTTACAAAGTGAGAAAACTATTATAATATGCACCTAAGATTATTAGACCCATTCACTACTCATGCTTATCCAACAAGTCATCTAATTAGCCTAAGTAATCTAATTAGCCTAAAGAAACTAATGGTAAAGGAGTTTCCAATTAAAATAAACATAGAAAAAAATTAAAAGGGTAAAGGCCCAATACAAAGAAATATAAATTTTTATTCTAGCTTCAAGTCTCAGTCTTTTATCATGTTATTCTATGCATTCATCACCTATTTCACTATACACCAAACATAACAACATTTCTGCCTCAAGTCCACTTTGTTAACATCATATAACCATATATAAGTTATTGTCTCTTCTGAATCACAATTTTGTTCTTAAAGATAGAAAAAAAAAGTTATGGTTTCTAATTTTACTGTAAATTTTTTTTTATCGCTGGCTCTATTTCCCATTCCATGGGGTTTCAACTTTATTTATTTTTTATTTGCAGTTCTCACTTTTCCTATTATTTTTTTATAGGTATGTTTTTAAGTACTACTTTAGTTACACATCAATCTCTTTCTAATAAAATCTAGAAGTTGCTCCATATAAATTTCTTTCTACAAATCTTCATTACGAAAAACATTTTTGACATCCAATTGGTAAAGAGACAATTGTTGAAGAGAAACCATGATTATGAATAAGCGAACAAAAACCATCTAGGAGATAACTTATCAAGACCAAGACCAAAATTATGAACAAAACATGTAGACCAAAAAACTTTAAGATATAAAGGATGTAGAGATTCATGAGGAAATAAAACAGAATGAGAAATTTTGTTATTTAAAACCGAAGATAACATGTAGTAAGAACAACATCACCCTAAAAATGTTGAGAACCTCACTATGGATTAAAAGAGTGTGAGTTGTTTCAATAAGATGTATATTCTTGTGCTTAACCACCCCATTTTGTTGAGGTGGATAAACACATGAAGTTTGATGTAAAATGTCATGAGAAGCCATAAAATATTTAAAAGAATGGGAAAGGTATTCACGACCATTATCACTTCATAAAGTTCCAATAGAAATCTGAAACTGAGTTTTAATTTCATTAAAAGGATTGGAATATAGAAAATAACTCAGAACGATTTTTCATTAGAAACAACCAAGTATTTCTGAAATAATCATCAATAGAAGTAACAAAATCAAACTAAAACTCATTAATTGATTAACTCAAAACATAATTTGGTTAATCAATTTTACAAAGGATTGAACCATTATTTAAACAAACTTAAAGATTCGTATTAGTCTTCCTCCATATGGGCCATGATGCAATTCGAAACTTTGGTCTTTTCACCTTGAAACGTGGACTTGTATTCAAATAATATGAATATTTATTGAAGAACTTCCTTTATTTATCTTGTTTTAGCCTTTGTCATAGGTCCTCCAAATATTTCAAGTAGGTTTTTGCCCTTGCTCATAGTCATGTCCTTATCATATAACTATATCTAATGTATGTATTGTCTTATGTGAATCACATTTTTGTCCTTAAAGCTAGGAAAAAAAAGTTATGGCTTCTAATTTTACTATATAATTTTATATATCGCTGGTTCTATTTCTCATTCCTCGAGGTTTCAACTTTATTTCTTTTTTATTTTTTTTATTTGCACTTCTCACTTTTCCTATTATTTTTTGTATAAGTATGTTTGTAAGTACTACTTTATTTATATAGCAATCTCTTTCTAATAAGCACACCAATTGTTTATTGTACATTAAAAAGAAAGTGTTAATTGTAATCAATACATTATAAAAACACATTCATATTAAAGCATATTAATGAATGTCTATGTTTTATAATGATAAAAACTATATTAGAAAGCTTGTAATTACACATCATAAGTTTACCATATACCATCATGATATAAAAGATGACATATTCTAACAAAATATTACCATAGAACTTTGACATCCTACCAATGTTGGTATTCGAATACCAACATGATAATAATTTCGTTCCTAAAAATGTATTTAAAAGAAATTGTTGTTTCAAAACATATTTGCAACACTAAAAGTAATTTAGTGAAGGATGAAGACTAATTTCATATTTACATATATAACAATTTTATCATGTTTGCATTTATGATCCCATTATATAGATTTAATTGTGTGGATGAAAACAGTAGAAAAATTCAATACAACAACAAAAAAATAGCATGTAGAGAACATGTTTTGGTTTCGATATCTTATATTAGAACTTGTGATACACTGTTTTAAGAACTATCAAAATTATAGTTTGCCAAAATTAAAATAACAAATATATTACAAGACAAATGGATGGTCGGTGTGACAGTATATAAATCTCTTAAAATGAAACTTTCAATACAGAAAAACACAGAAAAGCTTTGTTATCATAGCTTAAAAAATATGTTGAAGATCTCCATTCTCTTTTCCATAATCTTTGCTTTTGGTTTCCTTAGAAATGTTGTTTCACACAACAATTCTCTTCCATATGAAGCGATTTTCAACTTTGGTGACTCTATAAGTGACACCGGAAATGCTGCTTTTCATGAACCATTTCCATCTGATTCTCCTTATGGTTTAACATACTTTAAACATCCTGCTGGACGTTTGTCAGATGGACGATTAATCATAGACTTCATAGGTATTTATACTCTCTTACCAGATGACTTAAACAATATTGACTAAATGTAAAAAAAAGGGAGGATATGACAATATATCCTAAGAATCACACAATGTTAATTTTACTAACATACGATGATTTTCATTTTAGCTGAGGCATATGGGCTACCAATGTTGCCAGCCTATTTGAATCTCACAAAAGGACAAGACATTAAAAGAGGAGTAAATTTTGCATATTCTGGTTCAACTGCACTTGATAAAAGTTTTTTCGATAAGAGAGGACTCGACGTAAAGGCGGCTGCTTATTCATTGAGTACTCAAATTGATTGGTTTAATAAACTCAAACCCTCGCTTTGTAAAAACAAAACAGGTTTTACTAAATATCCTTTAATAACATTTTTACAAAGTTTTTTATTTTTTTCAATGACTAACAATGTTGTTCCTTCTTATGACAGAGTGTGATAGTTACATGAAAAATTCATTATTTTTGGTGGGTGAGATTGGTGGGAATGACATTAATGCAATTATCCCAAATAAAAATATTACCGAAATTCGAGAATTTATTCCACACATTGTTGACATAATTGCCAAACTCACCTCCGTATGTGGTGTTAAATTTATTTCAACTTGATCTAAATATGATTTATTAGAAATTTGATTATATTTTTATTTTTATTCAACAGAAAATAATCAAAGAAGGGGCAGTTGAGATAGTGGTTCCCGGAAACTTTCCTATCGGATGCAATTCATTTGTTTTGAATACAATGAATAGTGATAAGAAAGACGACTATGATCAATTTGGCTGCTTGGTATCTTACAATGCTATCATAAAAAACTATAATGAGCAACTCAAACAAGCTATAGAGACATTGAGAAAAAATAACCCAAATGTTAAAATAACATATTTTGATTACTATGGATCTGCCAAACGTTTATTTCAAGCGCCACAAAAATATGGTGAGTAGTACTTTTTTTAATTAGCTGAATAATAAATAGATACATGTGAGTGCAAATTTTGTTAGACTTTATTCTTATTATATTCGTTAATTTATGTACTGCAGGCTTTCCTTCCGGTAAAATCGACACCTTTAGAGTATGTTGTGGAGTAGGTGAAGGATACCGTCTCCATGGGCGATGTGGATTTGGTGATGCAAAACCTTGTGAACATCCTTCAAAACATATAAATTGGGATGGATTTCATTTCACTGAAGCAGCATATAGACTAATAGCAAAGGGATTAATTGAGGGTGCTTTTGCTCATCCTCCACTCAAACCCCCTGTTTCAAAGATACCTGATAATTGAAACAATCATAGAGGAACAATTAACAAAATAGGATATGTCTCATGTATTTGTATTGTTAGATATTGTTTAGATATTATTTAATATTGTTAAGATATTGTTAGATATTAACCATAATATCAAACAATATCTTCTGTTTATTCTGTTACTTTCAGTTACTCTTTTAGTTGTATCTCTCTACTATAAATAGACTACCCTATGTGTGATTTATACACAAGGGAGATTAATCCCAAACTCTATTTCTTCTATATTCAACATGGTATCAGAGCCAAAGCCTAACATCTTTCCGGTTATTGTCATGGGCCAAAAGTTGCCCATTAGTTGGGTCAAAAGTACCCTTTGCCTGGTCCGGCAGGCTTTGTTAGAGGGGGCGTGTTGAAAGTCCCACATCGCCTACCTCATGTCATTTGGTATGGTTTAAATACATGTTAGACTATATCTGTAACAGGAAAATTGGTTTTTTGATTCAGGAGCCACTGATCATATTACTGGTAACAAATCTTTGTTCTCCTCTTTATCCTCTCCTGATCCTTTACCTTTTGTTACACTAGCTGATGGCTCTAGAGTATCATCTCATGGTGTTGGAACTGTTAAACTTTTCCCTTCTTTAACCATTGATAATGTTCTTTATGTCCCTGGGTCTCCTTTTAACCTGTTATCCATCAGTCGTCTAACTCGTTCTCTTGATTGTGTTGTTTCTTTTACCAACAATTCCGTGTGTTTACGGGACCGGAGTTCGAAACGTGTGATTGGCACAGGATGTGAGTCTCATGGTCTTTATCATCTTCGTCCCTTTACACATGTTGGTGCGGTTATAGAGTCTCCCTCTCTTCTCCATGCTCGGTTAGGTCATCCAAGTCTTGCCAAGTTACAGCAACTTGTCCCCGCCTTATCTAAATTGTCTAGTTTGGCATGTGAGTCGTGTCAATTAGGCAAGCATATTCGTACTTCCTTTCCTCGTAGTGTCACACGTGGTGCTTCGTCCCCTTTTGCCGTGGTTCACTCGACATTTGGGGACCTAGCCGCATTAAGTCTACTTTAGGTTTTCAATACTTTGTTACTTTCATTGATGATTATTCCGAGATGTACTTGGTTATTTTTGATGAAAAATCGTTCCGAATTATTTCATATCTTTCAAACTTTTTTCAATGAAATTCAAACTCGGTTCGGTGTTTCTATTAGAGTTTTGCGCAGATGATAATGGTCGTGAATATCTTTCTCATTCTTTTAAACAATTCATGGCTTCTCATGGTATTTTGCATCAAACTTCTTGTGCTTATACACCTCAACAAAATGGTGTAGCCGAACGTAAAAATAGACATCTTATTGAAACAACTCGCACTCTTTTAATTCATGGAGAGGTTCCTCAGCATTTTTGGGGTGATGCTCTTCTTACTGCATGTTATCTTGTTAATCGCATGCCATCTTCGGTTCTAGATAATAAAATACCTCATTCCATTTTATTCCCTCATGAACCACTTCATCCCTTACCTCTAAAAGTTTTCGGGTCTACATGTTTTGTTCATAATTTTAGTTCTAGTCTTGACAAGCTTTCTCCTAGATCACATAAATGTGTTTTCTTAGGGTTTACAAGATCACAAAAAGGATACAAATGTTTTTCTCCTTCTCTTAACCGTTATTTTGTGTCTGCAGATGTCACCTTTGATGAGTTCTCTTTTTATTTTAAAAGTCAATCTTCACCTCTGTCTCCATCCAATATTGTCAACACTCCTAGTACATTTAATGTTCCCGTTGTTTGTGACCCTCTAATTGTGTCTTCTTCACCATTAGATTCTACTCCGTGATCAACTTCTTCTTCACTACCTCTTCAGGTTTATAGTTGCCGAAACCAATCACAACCACCACCATGTGACTCTACTCAAGTGCCAACTACTCTGTCTCCTCCGAATGTGACACCCGAGTCCGACCTTCCCATTGCCCTCCGAAAAGGTATCCGTTCTACACGTAATCCCTCTCCTCATTATATTGGTTTGAGTTATCATCGATCGTCATTACCTTTTTATACATGTCTTTCCTCTCTTTCTTCCGTGACCATTCCAAAAACCGTCCGTGAAGCTTTAGCCCATCCCGGTTGGCGTCAGGCCATGTTAGATGAACTAAGTGCTCTTCATAATAGTGGAACTTGGGATTTGGTCTCGTTACCGTCTGGGAAATCTGTTGTTGGTTGCGGGTGGGTGTTTGCTATCAAAGTTGGACCCGATGGTACTATTGATCGCCTCAAAGCACGTCTTGTGGCCAAAGGTTATACTCAAATTTTTGGTTTGGATTATGGAGATACCTTTTCCCCGTGGCAAAGATGACTTCGTTCGTTTATTTATCGCCATGGCCGCTCTTCAACAATGGCCTCTTTATCAACTAGATGTTAAAAATGCTTTCCTCAATGGTGATTTGCAAGAAGAAATCTATATGGAGCAACCTCCTGGGTTTGTTGCTCGGGGGAGTCTTCTCGGGATGGTATGTCGTCTTCGCAAATCCCTATATGGCCTAAAACAGTCTCCTAGGGCCTGGTTTGGAAAGTTTAGCAAGGTTGTTCAACAATTTGGTATGACTCGGTGTGAAGCAGATCACTCTATCTTTTATCGACACTCAAGTGCTGGATGTGTTTACTTGATAGTATATGTTGATGACATCGTTCTTACAGGTAGTGACAACCATGGCATCTCTCGGTTGAAACAACATCTCTGTCACCATTTTCGGACCAAAGATCTTGGCAAACTTAGATATTTCTTGGGTATTGAGGTGGCACAGTCCAATGATGGTATTGTTATATCTCAGAGGAAGTATGCCATGGATATTTTAGAGGAAACTGGGTTGATGAATTCAAAGTCTGTTGATACGCCCATGGATCCCAATACTAAACTTTTACCAAATCAGGGGGAGCTTTTACCTGATCCTGAACAGTATAGAAGATTGGTTGGAAAATTGAATTATCTTACAGTTACTCGTCCTGACATTTCCTTTGCAGTCAGTGTGGTAAGCCAATTTCTTAATTCCCCATGTGAAGATCATTGGAATGCGATCATTCGTATCTTAAAGTATATTAAAAGATCTCCGAAAAAGGATTGTTATATGATTCTAATAACCATACAAGAGTTGTTTGCTACTCGGATGTCGATTGGGCAGGATCTCCTTCGATAGAAGATCTACATCTGGATATTGTGTCTCCATTGGCGGTAACTTGGTCTCATGGAAAAGTAAGAAACAAAGTGTTGTGGCAAGATCTAGTGCGAAGCGCAATATAGAGCTATGGCCTCAGCTGCTTGTGAACTTGTTTGGCTCAAGCAATTGCTTAGAGAGTTACAATTTGGAGATGTCACTCAAATGTCACTTGTGTGTGACAATCAAGCCGCTCTTCATATTAGTTCTAATCCTGTCTTTCATGAGAGGACCAAACACATTGAGATTGACTGTCATTTCATTCGAGAAAAGATTATGTCCGGAGACATCAAGACTGAGTTTGTTAACTCAAGTGATCAGTTAGCGAGATATTTTTACTAAATCTTTACTGGGTCCTAGAATTGATTATATTTGTAACAAGCTTGGCACATACGATTTGTATGCTCCAAGCTTGAGGGGGAGTGTTAGATATTGTTTAGATATTATTTAATATTGTTAAGATATTGTTAGATATTAACCATAATATCAAACAATATCTTCTCGTTTATTCTGTTACTTTCAGTTACTCTTTTAGTTGTATCTCTCTACTATAAATAGACTACCCTATGTGTGATTTATACACAAGGGAGATTAATCCCAAACTCTATTTCTTCTATATTCAACATGTATATATAAGTGTCTCTTCTTGACAAACAAAGAGTTGGTAGAACATAAATATTGTATTATTCAATAAAAGTCCAATATTAAAAGTTTAACATTTAAGATTTCCATTTAAATTACATTATTTTCTTTTCTAAACATGAATTATACATAGTTGTTTTGTAACGAGAAGTCAGGTTGATTAGTAGAGAGAAAGAAAACTAACCAGGTGAATTAGTTTGGTCACCAATCAAACGAGTGAGACTAGATACATACTCCACTCGAAAAATTCACATAGGTATACCATTCTAGCAAAATATTTGAGCTAACCATTAAATGAGTTGGCCTAGACAGTCGAGTTGATCACTACATAGTTCAGACAAATTAGATTAAATCAAATGAGTAAACCATTTGAGAGAATCATATTAGTAAATCACTTAAACATATACTTGAGAGAGTAAAACCAAATGAATACCCCACTGTTGAATATAGTGAAAATTAGATATAGGGTTAATCTCTCTTGTGTGTAAAATACAATAGGGTAATATATTTATAATGAAGAGTAATACAGGAAAATATAGCAAATATACATAAATATGGTAATTATAAGATATTGTGACTAACAATATCTAACACCTCAAGCTGGTGGATATAAATCATATGTACCAAGCTTGTTACAAATATAATCAATTCTAGGTCATCGTAAAGACTTAGTGAAAATATCAACTAATTGTTCATTTGAGTTAACAAACTCGGTCTTAATGTCTCCAGATACAAACTTTTCTCGAATAAAATGATAGTCAACCTCAATGTGCTTGGTCCTTTCATGAAAGATAAGATTAGAGCTAATATGAAGAGCAACTTGATTGTCACATATAAGTGTCATTTGAGTGACATATCCAAATTGTAACTCTTTAAGTAATTGTTTAAGACAAACAAGTTCACAAGTGGCTGAGGCCATAACTTTATATTCTATTTCTGCACTAGCTTTTGTCACAACACTTTATTTCTTGTTCTTCCAAGAGATAAGTTACCAAAAATACAAATGCAATATTCGAAAGTAGATATTCTATTAGAAGGAGATCTTGACCAATCAACATCTCGAATAACAAACAATTTTAGCCTGGTTATTGTGATCATATAACAAACATTTTCCAGGAGATCATTTAATGTACTTTAATATACAGATGACTCGCAGTCCAATGATATGCACATGGGAAATTAAG